TATCGTTATTTATCTGTATGTTATTCGCATTCGAATCGCAGGAAAGTAAAAGAAAAAATTTCGTCTGAAATGAAGAAGTGCGCATCGCACGTGTGGACGAGAATTCGACGTTGTCGTCCTGCGTACGAGAGCGTGTACGATTTATCTTCACTGTAGTTATTCCGCTTAAATCGCTAAATTCTATATAATATGTATGGTGAATATACACGAGATTGTAAATTCTAATTGTCAAAAGCACGATCGCGCTCTACAGATTATATTATGGATCATTCTTATGTCTAATATCGGCGTAATGATGGCCGGGCTCGATTAGAAGGAGCATAGAAAATTGTATACAATAGACAGAACTTCGGCTACAGAACTTCAGATATACGGTCCCACTTTTTACACGTTTATACGATCTAGCATCGGCAGGGCGTCTACGTGTAAAACGTCAATTTTCAATAAACTACGCATAGAATATCCGAAGTATTTCTAACACGTTTTTTTTCTCCGATTATATTATAGCCTAAGCTAAGAAACGACGATTATTATTTTATTCTTCGCCCATTCACGGATTTTATTAACCGAGAGCTTGCCAAAATAGTGCAGTTTCAAACGTGTGCCGAGTCTTTTATTTTATGCATTAATAGGTTTCCCGATAATTGTCGCAAAATCATAGCATAGATATTTTACACGTAGAAGAATAAGTATGTAGATATCCAGCGCTGATTAGCGGAACTCGAGAGGAAAAAATCCGTGAGAATATTTCATCAAAAAAGAAAGGAGTACAACGAAGATGATGTATCTCCTAAATTCATTTTTGCCCTAGCGTATACTAATATGTAGGCACATGATCCACGAAAACGCGCGCGTTTAGAAAAGATTCGCCGATCGTTCAGATCCGTTCGCTATCGTTTCGAACTCTAAACGAGGTTTGCAGAAGTTAGCGGTGCTGCTTTATATGTTTTATTTATACCATTAAGCGCAATGTGTGTGTGTGTGTGTGTGTGTGTCGACTGAATTAGACTAATCCGTTGGACGTCGGCGATAAGAGAATATATCGACCTGTCGGTTTAAACTAGAGCGGAGGTATCTGAAGTTTTTTTTTACTGAAGTTTTACAAAGTTTTTCACTGAAGTTTTTAGGCAGAAGGAGAGAAGCGATCCCTCGGACACGATTTTCTAACTTTCCACTAGAGTAGATTGCGTGTTATCACATTTTAAGCCACGAGAGAGTAATGAACTTCTCGTTCGACCATATAACTCTCTACGTTATTACTAATTCAATGCTGATATTCGTGTTAATTAAATTTATTGTAAGAAAAGAGAGCTTATTTATACGCGATAAATCTAATTTGTCGCCTCAAACAATTTCTACATACGTATATCTCTACTAAACCCGATTGTGTGTACACGATTTGCGTATATTTTTTATTATATATAATGTATACATGCGTTTAATGATAAAAATTATATTACATACTTTTTTTGGCCGATTCACTACTTGCATTTTGAGATCCTTTAGAGTATATATTTTACGATATAATATTTATAGATATCTATTTGTTTCTACAATTATATATTCCCTTTCAATTATTTTTCAATAATAAATTATCACAATTTCCGAAGAAGAAAGGATACAATTAATGTCTTTGGTCAATCATAATTCACACAATCATATTTAAATAAATCACAAAAATTTTTAAAAAGGCAAAAGCTTTAATTATAACTTTCATAAAATAAAAAATTAATAATCTTCCTCTAAGTTTAAAATAAAAAATAAAATACTTAATTAATATATTTGAGCATCTTCAACAAAAATATATTTTATACAAAGTGATTAGAGAGTTATTGCTATTACAACTGGAAAGAGAGAGAGACATTCTGCGCGCGCGCGCGCGCGCGCGCGCGCGCATACAAAAATAAATCTGAAAAATATAATTTTATAAAAAAAAAAGTTTGTCTACATTTTCTATTTATACATACATCATCGTTTTCCCAGTTGTATGAGCAACAACGAACCCAGCACAATAATATTGCCGGAATGATAATTTTATATAATAAAATAATTATGTGCTTAGAGCGCGAGGTCATTGAATATCACCGATCTCTCTACATATCTATAAACGGAATTCATCAACTTATTTTACTTCGTTGACTAAATTTATTATACATTAAGAATGTCTTTCAGTAAGTCACAAAAGGAAATTTGATTTTTATATAGCGCCATATTAATGACGTTTATTGATTGTCTCTACTTCTATAATAATAATCTCTATCTACTCATGATTGTATAGTATCTCTAAATTTCGTTTATCGTGCACGTGCTTTTTTTCTTGGTACTCGCCAGATCTTTTTAAACTCGCGCTGTGCAAAGAATTCCCCATTATCTATTTAAGCCGTTTAAAAAGATGAACTTGTGACGAAGAATGAAAACGGAAATTGAGAAGCTTGCAACTCTACGAGATTCGAAGATGACAAGATTGAAACTACTCGACATGCTTATAACAATTGTCAGATAAATGAAAAATTCTTCGTCGCGCTGCACCATCACGTACCTCGAGAGTTATACATTGCCGTGATCTGTATAATTTATCATTTATGATCTATACGTTATCGTAATTTTATTACTCGATCGTGTTAAAGTGGAGTAAGTTAAGTGAGAGGCACCGTAGAGTGTGCTCGTACGCACATATAGGCTAAAGCGTGTTTTACAGAGTATTTTGTTTACGTTCTTCCAGTGCACTTTCTTCATATATTTCGATGAAATACACACTTATAATAAACTGATAGTCAAGCCACTCATCGCGGGATTCAGTTCGTAAAAAATGATCGGGTTGCACAGAACGCCATGTAAAATTGTCAAAAGTGTGCTCATTATTTAATGGTATTATCAAAATCGGAGGGTATTCATTATGCTTGTCGAAAACTAGAAGTCAGCAACGCGTGATTTGGTCGAGAAAAGAGAAAGTTTAAAAATATTGTTTATTTTTTAAGAGATACCTGTTCCCGAGGATAATCGTTAAATTTCATTTTCTCAAACTACTGACTCTTGACTACCATTTTATCATAATCGATAGAGGTTGTGCTTGATTCAAGAACAATTGAGCATTTGACGTACGAATAAACAATAAATTATTTTATACAATTCTTATGTACACATATATATATGTATATTCAACATGAAAAAATACGAAGAAAATTGGTACGATACAAAAAAATATTACGGTATAAAAAATAAGTGTAGAGACCTGCAGTTGTAACTTTGTTCATGCGCGTAAAACGAAGTAGACACACAATACATGTAATATCGAGTGTGCTCGATCGGCGATATATGTATATAGACCGCTGATGCAACGAATTGATCGGCTCGAATCAAGCACCACATCCATTGCAGCAGTAAAGTGTGGTGTTTTGGTTCACGAGAAAGTCTTGTAAAATGTGTATAATTTTGGACCCTACACCTATATATATATATATAATATATATATTTATATTTATATATGTATGTATAATGTATATATATATATAATGTATATGTATACATATAATATGTCTCTCTGTGTGATTAAAAATACTCTTAGAAGCCGCTTAATTTAAGAAAGTTGCTAAATCTATCTTCACTGTGTGTGTATATATATATATATATATATATATATACACACACAATAATATGTATATAAGAAATGATAGATATATAAAGTGCGATAGATCCGCCTGGTAAAGAACGATTTTCCACCCACGAAAGACTGACCGATATAATCGATCGATCCAAAACTGCGAATCGCGAGGCGACACGAATCCACCTATCTGAACTTATTAATGTTGTATTGCTCGTCTCATTTAGATCTAATTTTGGCAGTCGGGAAATCATAAGAACTGTGACTATCCTTCAATGTATAGTTCAATCGTACTTTCTCGAATCGTTCGATTAATCTAATTTAATGAAAAGTTGTTAGATTGCTCGTCTAATTGCCTGTTTCGAACATTATAAATTAACTTCAATCTCGATTCAACTTACTCTACATTTTTTTCTAGTTTTAAAAATTAGGAAAAGAAGGAAATTAAATTGAACCGAGATTAAAATTAATCTACATTAGAGGAAACGGCTATAAAAGTTCCGCGCCGCATCGCAATCCGTGGCTTTGATCCTAAATAAGAAAGTTTTGTAACGTTGCAAGTCGCGCGCGGGATTCAAGATCGTAATGCACCGTCTCCGATCTTAAAATATTCCCTAAGTAACGTACGTACAAAATATAAATTGTATTTGTATACAAGAATGACACGTCTCCACACGATATATACACTTCCTTTTCACTCATCATTTCTTCTCATGGCGTAAGCCTTAATAATTAAATTTGTTTAAAATATTTTTCGCAGAACTCGCGCGTGTATCGAAGACTAATATTACAGATATATATTGCATATCGCGAATTCTCTAGTACGGAGCATCTAAATTCTACGTAGATGTATTGCTCTTCAGGAACAAGCGCTGTAGGCAAGTGCGATCGGGAAATGTCATAAAAAAAAGAAAAGAAGATGGAAAATTCGTACATGCGTATTTGAAGCGGGCTTATATCTCGAAATATCTATATTTGTGCTAGGCCAAAGAATTAAATCGAGATACGAATCGAGAGAGCTCGCGCTCGCGGAATCGAAACTGGAAACACTCCGCGAGCCACGGTTCTCTATTTTTGCGGGACTTCCATGTCGGGAATTGAAAACAAAATGGAACCACAATTCAAAATTGTAAACCCTGTAGAACCGTTGGAATCGCTTTGGGACCGATAAGTGGTTCCACCGCTTGACGGTCAGCCGATCGGCAGAACGATCGACAGTCTACGAGTTTAATTAAAATTTGTTCTAGGAAGTTCAATGTTGCTTATTGTTTCTCCTTATTACTTCTAATTGGCCCGAGTGATGTTCCCATTGGCGTTTACCCATTCTTTCGGCGAACTGAAAAGGTGGAACAGAATCGAGATTTTTTTTTTTTGTTCTTTTTGACAAAATCAATTTTTATATCGTTATTGAATAATATATTTCTTCGCCCTCTTTCTTTGATAATCGCACGATTACCTCGTGATACTTTCGTTTCCGTTTAAAGAAATATCATCATGCGTACAGCAACCGCAATCTACGGTTTCTATACCTTAGCTCAGCGCCTGATTCGTTCATCATTAATTCGATTATCCATCCTGTGCGTTTGACTTCGTCGTTTGCGTTTACACTTGAGGACTCCTCTCAGCCTCAATTCTGACGTATTTCAACGTATTACTCCGAAGAAGATATCGTTCTCCCCCTAATGACATGATAGCGATGGCAGTGATGACGACGATCATAATTCCATCGAGTTATAAGATCGAGAATAAGCAAAGAATGAACCTCTGTGGCCACGATGGAATTACAAAGATCGCCAGAGTTGCCAATACTAATAGCGATCTCTTCGATGTCACAGTCTTCCGATTGTAGTCTCTCGAGAATCAAATGGAATCGAATAGCGTTCGCTATAATATTTGTACTTTCCAGACATGCTCGGGACAGCATTATCGAGCGCGTGCCATCTCCCTTGTTAAGAGCCCTCGCTGAACATATTTGGCGTCACTGTAGTTATAGTAACGCGAGGCAGGATCCGTGGTATCGCGGGTAATCGTAAAACTGATTGCACGAGTTCACCGGGGGCTCTCTGTTACACATCATCCTCTATACTCCGCAGGGGTATCTGCTGCTTCTGCGCTACCGCATTTAACACATGCACCAACTGATCCAGCTTTTTGTCCATCACAGATAGCTGCAAACAGAAAATTTCATACCGATAGTTCATTCGAAAGTTCACGTCGAAAGAAAATTTACGCTTCGATTTATGCGAAATGTCTATTAAAAAATAATGAAAAAAATCTTTGACTTCCAGATATTTTTATTCAGGCAAATCAGAACGTTTTAAGATACAAATTTGAAATAAATTTAATTATTATCTAATCATAAGAGAAAGAATTTTTCATGTCTTCTCATCTATCATAGAGATATCATTAGGAAAGAAGAGAGGCAATTCCTTCAAAGAAAGAAGAATTGCAATCCCTCCACCGAAATTTTTGTGTTTTTTCATTTTTTATCACAAAAAAATACAACTTAATTTTTAACTCAGAGTAAATTTTTTGTTGTCATTATAATGTTTTTCTTTCTAATACAAATATTTTTCTCCCTATTCAACATTATTTCAACTATAAAATAAAAAATAATTTAATTAAAATAGTAAATAATTTCTGGAACTTCTGTTAGTTGTAATAGAATCCGATATATGTATAAAGAAAATTATCGCAAGGTTTTTAAATAAAAAAAAGAAAATATGTGCTAAGATATTAATGAGTACTTCATTTACAAGTACATATTTCGTTTTTAATAATTATATTTTGCCTATAATTTCTTCAAAAAAAAAAGTAAAAGTTATGATTTACAAAATTTACCTTCTCATTCAAAATCAGAAGAAGAAGACATACAAAGTTCTAAAGTATTCAAAAACAATTCATTCGGCGCAACAAATTTCTATTTATATATATAATAACAAAATTGATAAATCCTCATCTCCCTCCCCCTTACAACTCAAAAAAAGAATTCTGAATATATCTATTTTCAACACATAATTGTGGAGAAAAATTACGAATTACTTAATAAATATATAACATAATTTCTATTAACATACTTTCAATAAAATCATAATGATCTTATATGATATTTTTGAAGTGATTAATTCCGTTAGTTCAGTTTTCTTGTACGAGAGTTAGCATAGTGAACGTTATCTCATTCGTATTCTTCATCATTTGTGCATTTTTTGCTTTTAAATTAGGGAAATCTGTGAATTAACAGAATAATTAATAAGGTAAAATACGTATCATATGCAAATTTTCTATAAGAGAATAAGGACCAATTAAAAATTAAAAAAATGATTTGATAAAAATTACGCAAATGTGAATATAATTCTATTGTGACCTCGTGAAAATTAATAAGCTGATTTGCAATTTTAAATCTGTAGTTCAAACATTACACGGTAGTTTTAACAAAAAATAACTAATTTCGAAATTCAAGAAAGAGATTAATTACTTTCTGTACTATTTAACAAAATATAATTTTAGTCTTCAAAATTGCATTTCAGTTTTAAAAAGTTTAAAATTGAAGTTGAAAAAGACCATTTTAGTATATTTCATTATGTTACAATTATGACGTGTTGGAAAGATTTTATTTTATTTTAACAAAGTTAAATACAATATATTATTAGAAAATTTTTCGATTCTCAAAATGACAATTAAACTATTGAGAAATATAGATACGAACATTTTCCCACTTTTCATTTATTCAAACTTAAGAAGAATTTTCAAGTCGCTGAATATTTTTTACATATTTAATGTAAACTCAATAATTTTAATACGATAAAATTAATACGAAGAACAATTTTTAAAAAATTCAAGTTATTAAATACAGGTTCAAAATTAGAGATTAACGATATCACATAATGGAATCAAATAAATTTTGGAATGGAATTCAATAAATTGTCCATGGTCATAAAATGGCTTCATTCAAAATCTTCGTGTGATAAACACAATATTGATCGCGAAAATTTTTTATCAAATTCTAATCTTCACAATGGACTTCTTTCGAAGATTGAAAGTTTTAATAACATACTTAATTTCGAAAGCAATAAATCTTTTCTGGCATGTCGCTTGCTTTAGTATAAAAAATTATGTTAAGAAAAGGTTTTGTTTCTTTCTTACAGTTTTGATTACAAACTTCTTGAAAATTGCGATGTTTCAACGATTATCAATTTATATTAAACATTAAAGAAACTGTAAATTGTAATTCTTTTTTCTTTGAAACTTTTTTTTAATTGTATTACCTGCATGTTTTTATGCTCATAAAGCCGTGGAAAGCTCGTAATAAACTCGTAAATGTAATTTTTGGAAAATATGGATTTGAAAGTAGGTTATTCAATTATACATTCTCTCCACAAATATGAAGATAGATTCACACGCGCGTTAAGCTATGCGTTGAGGAAGTAGGACAGTTAAATATTCATAAAAGAAACATTACGGTAATTAAAGCGAAAGACGCACCTGCTGCTCCACTCGATATAAACGCGCGCCAATCGTCATGGGTTTTACGTTGCCTGCCCGGTCGATTCCCGCCAGGTAGCTCCCCGGTTTACCCAGGGTCTGATCCAATCTCCTCTGCAACTCCTGCGGACAAATCGAACGTGCAATCAACCGCCCATAATTTTACTCCCAGGCTACGCCGAAAAATGCGGTGATCGAGCAGCGCACACGTGAAAAAAGAAATTGTTATTCGCTATTAATATTTCATATTGTTAATTAATATTGCCTTACACCTTCGTCCTTTAGCCTCTTGTTTCCTGTTCACGGAAAAAAAAAAACAGCTGAAAACAGCTTCATTGATTCAGCAAATCTATAGTCATCGTACATCGTGATATACAGACAGTCAATTTTCTATGTTAAAGTAGTAAAGTTGACAGCTGAATAACATTAACGATTTGCTAAACCATCGAATCTTCTTAGTTATAGATGTTGAATTCGAGCAGTAAGTTATAGGTTTGCTGTATCACCTAATTAATTTTTTTTTTTCTGTGTTTCTGTAATTTAATGCAATTCTGTGATTAAGAGCGAATTCGTGAATTACCGCAATTCTTGCAACACGAAACAGACATAGCGATATAGCTGAAAATGAGACGTAAAAGGCGGCGTTTCAAGATCGAAATTAACGCGATGCTGTAATTAAATAATGCGCAAACGAGCATCGGTTGCGCTTGCAATTAAATCAGCAGTTAAAAATTTCGCTGCGAAACACCAGAGGATATTATCGATCTCCTCGATATACATATAATGGAACTTTATATTCGCTCGTCGCAAAGTACTGAAGTTTCTTCGGCAAACAAAAGACCGTACGCTCATAGAAGTTGAGTCTACCGTGATTGACGTTTTGTTTTTGCAGGCTTTTTAAAGTCATCATTTTTTTTCCTGCAGCAATTGTTGAACGATATTTGAAAACGTTTTTGCAAATAAATATCAACGATAAACATCACTTGTAATTTAATATTAATTAATAAATATGTCACATTAAATAAACAGATAAAATTGTCAATATATGATATATACCGAATTGTATTTAAAATCACAAATTTTTGTTTGAAGTTTTATGTTAAATCGTTATGCATATAAAACGAAAGACGACAAAAAGATATCAGTGAAAATTAATTTGTAAACGAGTACCATGAAAACACAACGAAATATCGACAAAAAAAAATGATTTATCATAATTTAAGTTTATTTTATTTTAGAAAGATAAGTTTGACAACTGCACCTCTTAATGTACATATAGCAGATTATAGCATATGTATATATATATATATTTCTCATATATATGTTCTGAAAGTGTCTTAACTTTCAAACCGTACACCTCCCTCGAGCACCTACCAATAGTACACAGGTGCGAATTGAGATTTGACATTTTTAATTGCAAGTCTCTCTTGAGGATTAAAACAGAAATTTCTTTAAAACTCTTTTCTGAGGTATAATTTTCTCACAAATCCAATGGTATCACTCAGATTTAAAGAAAAAGCATATTTAATGTAGTAGGGATAAGCCGCGACGACTGTTCGTGCGCAACTACCAGCAAATTGAACATTTTTGTGGTACGAATTCGCACTAGAGTATGATTTGAAGCTTAAAATTCATGTGTTAAGATGTTAATATGTACGCGCGATCGATCTTTAGATATCCGGTGAGTGTAGATGTGAGCCGCGACAACCATTTGTCGATTAATTGATGGCTCTATTTTGCGTCGTTTTTTTGATCACCTAAAACCATTTGTGTATTAATTGATGGCTCTATTTTGCTGCGTGTACCGATGGTTACATTGTAACATCCCGTGAACCGACACGGACTTTGTATAATACATGCCCTTCGATATTACGTGTCGAACTAATCGTTGGCGATCGCGTATGGTTGATTAAATACGGAACCAGAATTGCTGAGCGACGATCGCTCACTAATCTGTCAAATAAGAGCAATTACTGTTTATCACGCGATAAACAGGTTTATCTTGTCGTGTGTCATTCGCTCATTAGATTACACGACGAATAATTGGCGATTGGTCTTGTGAACGAAACGGTGTTTCTTTAAAATAACCTACTGTGTCTGTATTAAATGATAATCTTCGAGTTATGGTATTATAGATGTATTTTAAGAATGAAGGATCGACTCACCTTAATTCGCACCATCATGTTTAGATGACCTTGGCTGTATTGTTCGATGACGTCACGAACGTCGTACGGTTTCCGAGCTTGTTGAAACTTTCTGCGAGCCACGAAGTACTTGATCTTCCTGATTGCTCGAATAGCATTCCGGTGTGCCTCTGTCAACCTAAAAAATAAGAAAATGCGAAATTTAGACTAGCAAAATTGCAACAGGGAAAAGATACATTTATATACGATCATCTCTTCTTTCTTATTTGCCAAATTTACATGTCCAAATGCAAAATCATCATTAAAAATATCGTAGAATAAAAATATGATCTGGGATGAAAATGTTAATTTTGAATCTAATCGCCATTGAAATGTCACATTATAACATTCAATCATCTTTGTTGTAGCGGTTTCAAATTCGCTTGATTCACTTTAGAAGAGAAATCGATTTCTCCTGGAGTTGCGATCTTCGCTAACTTAATTTTCCTAGTCGATATCATGACGCAGCAAGACGCAACTTGATACAGCTCGTTTCCCTTTCGTCGTTAGAAATAACCGGTAAAGTGCAACGCTGAACTCCGTTAATGTAAATTGCATAAAATATAAAGCTGCGCTGCACGTTCAAAGGTAGATACTTCTAAAAGCGCTAACATTTTAACAGTCTCTTTCTATCTGTTAGGATAATCGTGTACATTGAAAATGAGTAAGCTTACTTTTGAGATAAAGCAATGACGTAATATCGATAAAGCTACCTTTTCGTAATTCGTACACTATTCATAGATCGCAAAATAATTGTGATATACCGAGTTGGAAAATTGATTCGTGTCAAACGTAATATTACATGTCAATATTCATTTCGGATTACCAGTTGACCCATATATTGACCAAAATAATGGTTTTCTTCTCTTTCGACTTTGTGCTACTCTCACATGTTAGCTCTCGAGGTCTCGAAGTCCCCACGAGGCCAAAGAACGGAGGAATATGCTCTCGATTCTTCAGGTGTTTACGTCTCCAAGAACGCTTAGCTTCTTGGCAAATGCTTTTGTGAGTATAAATGTGAGAGTGCACTGGTAAAACGTCACTTTATGCACTGGTAAAACGTCAGAGGAACGTTTACCAAGTATTACAATGGAGAATTCGACTAATCGTAAAAAGAGCTAATAAGAAATAAACGGGTAGTAAATACATTTATTTTACTTCGAGATATAAATAAATAAGTCTGGGATGTAAATCACTTCATTTCTTAATAATTATCATATCATATGTGTACACTCTCTCAGAAAGGATTTTTAATATTAAGAAAAACAATATTCTTGACGTACTTAGCTCAACTCTATACAATATAAAATTATAACTGTATTAAAATTAAATCAATAATTTTTATTCTACTTCCTCGCATAAAATAAGATCGACATTTTGTCTTGAGACGAGTATAATACATAAATTTAGGTTTGTATATTCTTACGTTTAGAATAAGTCTATCTAGTGTTATGTACGTGATGCTATAACATTATGATAACGAAGCTAGGTGAGAAACACGCGAAACGAGAGATCCTGAATTTAAGTCCTGGCCGAGCCCAGTTTTTCGTTGTCGAAAAATGTAACCTAAATTTTTCTGTTAAGAAAATTAATGAAATAACATTAAGAATATTTTATTCTAAATTTTAGAATTTTTCATTTAAGAAGAAAATATTCTTTTCTGAAAAATAAATATGATTGGCTCTATATTGAACTTATTTTATTCTACATCGAGGAGTAATAGCATTGAATATAGATATCTTTTCTGTGAGTATATGTATATAACACTGCTTACACACAAACACATTGTTATATTCAGTGCAAATATTGCTGCATAATTAAAACAAACTTTGCATGTATGTTTATTTTCAGAATTAACAAAAGCAATAACCAAAAGCTCTTGTGGTCCAATTTGTACTTAATCCTCTTGAGATAAAAAATTGGATAATAAAATTGTATTATTTATTTATTTATTTTTTTTTTTTTAATTAACGAAAGAGAATTGCGGGAAAATAAAAATATATCATTAAAATTCAATATAGGTACCAAATTTTACTATACAACAAGAGAGTAGCATAACTCGTACAATAATCATAGTAAGAAAAACGACACAGTAAATAACAGGATGAAAAACAGAAGAGTGAGAACACATGGAAGAAAGTTTGATTTCACGAGATACGTAAGATAATATTTTTAAACAAAATTGAAACGAATGTAGTCAGCAATGAAAAATATCCAAACGAGATGCTTTTTGGTTAGCAAACATAAGAAAGCCTCGGGCCGAAGTGAATGAGAGGCGAAAGAAGTTAAGTGAAGATGGAACAGAAAAATCTAGCAAGTGTCTTTATATACAAATTTCGAGTATACACGTGCACATTCGTTCGACGCCGTGAAATCTGGGTCATTCATACCGGCGTGAAGTAATGGTGAGGTGGAAAAAGCACTCACGAGTCCGTGCGAGTGTACGAAAAGGGCCTTTTGTGCGAAATACCGTGCGTTTCATTCGCGCCCGCAGAACCGACCTCTTTAAAATGTCAATGGTGCGAAAAGCCGCCGAGAAAGGCCTCCCTCATACCTTATCACCTCTCTTTCATGAATTTGAGTGTGATGTATGATGAAAATGTGTATATTTTTGGCCTGCGATTATATATTGTATGTACATAAATCTCTATATACGCCTAATTTTCATAGATGTTCTTAATTCTTAACGAATGGAAATCAAGCAGATTTATTGAAAAATGCTTCGCAATATTAAAAGACAAATAGATTGCATCGGTTCAAATTGAATTAGAGTTAAACTGTATATCATAGCTAAATATGTATTATATTAAACACCAAAATTAAAAATCTGAGATTAAATATACAATATATTAAATATATAGGAATTAATTCGTAGCTTTTTACAAGTGATGGGAAGTACTTTCATTAATGTATTTTTTAATGCTCATGTGAAATAAATAACATTCTTTCATTAAAAAACGCTACGAATTAATTCCAACACCTAATAGATAATTATATTCTATAATAATATAGATAATAAATACACAAAGATGCAGTCGCTGTTGAAATAAATTGTAATTTAAATATTATAAATTAAATATTTAAATATTTTTTCATACAATTACTCGCGTTTAAGAGTGCATTAAAGTTAAACCGTATATACATATATGCGTAAGTAATATTCAACACTCTTCTATTTTCATTTCTCTCTTGGATGGATCATTCAGTTGGAAGTGATTGGTAATAGACGATGGAAATTGAAAAATGTGAATACAAATGCAGAAGTGTGATGAAAATGAGGATCAGATTACACTATTACGAAATTGCAAAACATTACTCCGACACTACTACATCAAACCTTCGCGCATTCTCCCTTTAAAGGAGCAGAACTCGAGCTTTAATAGTTACGAGCATCAAACGGATGCATGAAGTGAAACTACAAGATTTTCACAAAATTAAATTTCGTTGGAGAATAGAAAGCACATTCTATTCTAGTGCTAGCACATTCGTAACGATCTGTGCGATATTTATCTGTATATTATGATACGAGGTATGCACGAGGTAGGAAAATTCCTCGGTACTATCGATTCCGCATGCAAAGTAGAAGTAATTTGCATGGAGATATACGTTCCTCGGCTTCCTATACTCTGATTTCGGTCGGCGCGATCTAACTCGATGTATGTAGACGCGAAACGGGCGTTTAATAACTTTACGATCGACCACGGAGACGGTAGTGGATTCGAGAGTTGCTTTAGAAGTTACAAAATAAATCATAAGTTTTATGATTAATACACATATATTTCAATGCACGCAGAAAGGATGAGTAAAAAGTATCAATAGATACTTACGTGGTTACTCTCTGGGGTTCTTCGATGTCGATATCAATTTCGTCGCTCGTCGCCTCCGTCACCGAACTCGTCTGCGAGGTGAAGAGACTTCCCCTGCCAACCGGAAATACGCTAGTTAAACTACGGGCTCACGGATCTCGTTCTTTCTATGTGGCAAAATAGCTCTGGAGAAGATACTCTTTAGACACAGGCTGACGCAAGTTAGAGCAACTTTCGCAAATCGCTGTATGATTTCACGAATTACTTTACGTAATAATATCTATCGTATATTTTATACATCACGAACTTTGCTGAACTTTTATCTAATTTTTTTAGTTGTAATATTATAGAAATATTTAGGCATGGTGCTTGCACACGTATTTTCCACAAAATTATTATTAAATGCATCTAGTAAATATTTAGTACTTTATGTTTAATGCATCTTGGTATCGGAATTTCCTTCTTCTATACAGCGCATGATTTCTGAGAAATCTTTCTCCAAAGCAATTTGCTAAATATGCGTCTCTTGACAGTAGAGAGAAATACCGTTGGGAGAAACTATTAGTAGGCACTAATAAGAAACAGTTAAATAGAAAGTTTACATTTTGTTTCGAAGCGGTGCATTAAGACAATAGACATACATAGATATTCTGAACTCACGTTGAACAAATACGGATTGCAGAAAACATTTTGTTTTATACAATGCAGCGTTGCGTTTCAAGATTATATATAAGTTGAAGATTATATATAAGTTATGTTTAATTTATATAGGGTAATTCCGGTACATATGCCGCACCTATCAAAAACTTAATTTATTAAGTATTATTTACTATGTTTAGTAAACGAACTGTATTAGCAAACACTTTGTACTGTCTATTACTATGAAAAAAATATTAGAAATCCGGAATATTTATTTTTCATATTAAAAAATTAACTTTTTGAAACCCTTGCATTTTTATCGTATATCCCATAGAAATGGGATATATGGCTATTCATAGAGGAAAGAGGGGATATGTACAACTCATGAAAAATTTACAAATAATAAAATTTGCATATAAATAAGACGTATCACGACACAATAACTTAAAAAATGTGTTTATAAAATTTTATTAAAGAATAAGAATGGTAAATATGTATATGAAGTAATAAATATAATAATTACAATCTTCCTACGTATATTACAAGTGTTATGACATGAGATACGTATAATGCGTTTATTGCATTTAGTGCACTGAATTCAATCTGCGCACTTTGTATGCTTTGGGCATAAATCCCGCTCGCTAAAAATGCCGTATATCCCAAATAGGGGGATATACAGGTGGGATATACAAGACAACAAATTAAACAAAGAATAATGAGAACAAAGCACTTGTATTTTGCTACACAACATGCTTTACTATTCCTCGTATGTATCACAAAATAACCACTAAGTCTTTTACACGCCCTACAGTAATCATTTTATATAAATTATAATTTATGACGGCATTACTTATTAGTGATAAATCGATTCAACTCACAATAATTTCATTAATATTAACAGTAAGAAACTGAAAATATAAATATAACATAAATATAACATAAAATCTGTAATAGAGTAGTTGCGGGAAAATTACCCTCACTCCTTCTATTTTTTCTGACTTCTGACGATATAAATCCTAGCGCAGCATATTTGTCGGAGTTACTCTAATAGGACAGATAATACAGCAGTCAATAGTTTCAATAATTTCTCTGATATATTGCCGATTTATATGCTTCAGTAATTCACGATTCTTCATAAACAAATTACGTATGAATACCATCTGATATCTTCCAACTTCGGACACATCAATTAATTGATGCGTTCGAAAACTGATGAAAGATATCTAATGACGTTTGTACGTAATATATCGTAATATATCGATGATGCCTCGTCAAATTACCATTATTGTCAGTATTATTTGGAAATTTATAATTCTTTATCGATAAATATATCTGATATTTTCAATTAATTCTCGAACATATCAATAATTAATATAAACATCAAATAATAGATGCTTTTTAGCAACAAAGTAATCATACACTGTATGATACAGTAATACAACATAGTATCGACTTGTAGTTAAAATATTGCTTAGTTTTTTTATTTTACTTAAATAAGGAAAATGGTTTCATATAATACATCTATATCCGAATATGTCAAATGTAATCTTGAAATTTTTCATTACTCTTAGAAAAATAAATGATAATGAAATGTAAGAATTTGATATTTGCAAAGTGATATAAAAAAACAACAGTCGAACACAACATTTTAACTGTATATGTGTCATACTTAGAAAACACGGAATCGTATACTGTTATACAGTGTTGTCTATGTACATTGCTGAAAAACATCAATATTGATATACAAACAAAGTGATATTTGTAGATAATTTGTGGATATTGCAATTTTTAATTTGTGAACGATTTATATTATATAACTGTACTCCAAATGTTTATTCCGCGAGTATAGTGTGAATTAGAATTTTCAACATACCAAAAGTAATAGTAGTATAATATATTATGAAACAACGTATAATAACATATAATGCAAACTAAATTTATTTTCCTCGAAATTTAACTACATTAGATTCTTAACACTTTTTGCCAAAGCATCCAAATAAATTTTGATTTTAGTGGAAGACCGATTAATTTCTAAATTATCGGAAAAAGTAAGCGATTTATAAAAAAAATTATTATACTGTTTGATTAAAATGATGCATCACTTGAGAAATTTTTAATTTAAAGCGATAATTGTAAGAAGACTTAGTACATCAACGATATATTCTCGCTTTTGAGGATCAGCGCGCAATTACTCGCATTCAAGAAGTCCCAGAACATCTCGGTACACTTTTCACTCGATGTCACACGACGGCGTCAGTGAGATTCGGAAATAAGTTCGCCAATTTCATGGTATCAGCTTCGTCTTCTCACCGTCGTATTTACTGAGCTGAAAGGCAAGTCTTCCAAGCGACTCTTCCGCTCGAAGAAACGGACTTAGATATGTTAAAGGTGACGATGTGAAATTCGAGCGGTTATGACAAATTTTGTACTTGAAATTAATACATTGTATGCAATACAGTGCAATGTAACGTAAACAAGACTGATCAGGATTGAAATAATTTTCTTCTTTATTATGGATAATATCCCAACGCATCTCTCTCTCTCTCTCTCTCTCTCTTCAACATAAAAATTTGTTAGATGTCTCTCACCGATTGTCACGTCTGGCACGATTCGGCGTGCCCACCTTGGGCTCCTCCATGTAAAAAACCACATCGCCCTCGTTCTCAAGACGTTGATTGTCGTTCTGGCCAGTCCCGGCACCAGCTGATATGCCACCCGATATCGTGACGGGCGGCAAAGCCGGCTGTTGTTGCTGCTGGACGTCCATTCGGTTCCGCGATTTCCGCCTCTTCAGCACATTCGCCTTCTTTGCCACCTGGATCATCAGAGACTGAACCCCCGGTGCCCTCCCATTACAACACACATCGAACACAGCATGCACTATCCCTACTGGCCAGACATTCGGCCCCTTTCTCTCTCTTTCTTTCTTTTTTGTTTTTTTTATTTATCTTTCTCAAATTGACGAGTCCATCATTGTCGTCATCATCAACGTCATCGTCGTTATTTTGCGGAAAATACGTACAACAGCAACAATTCCTTCCATGGTATGCTCAGAAAGCAATCTATGGAAAATTACGTCAATCGCGAGTCTATCTCGTTTGTAACATCCTTTCAGCTTCAAAAAACAACTTAATACATCTATAGCAAAATTTCCAGCGCACAGATATGCCGAGCATGTTACATAAAATAAATTTTTTTTCTCAGGACTTTATTTTAATTCAGAATTCATTTTAATTCCTAAAATACTTGGATAAATCATACTAATAGTATCGATGAAAATGTTCTATGCGGATATGCGTCTTTTATTCAGGAAACCTATTCTTTTTGAAATACATTTGCGTAAACGTTCTAAGAGTAGTTTCTTGACATTAAACACATTTTTAAGTATTCGAAATCTCTCCGTAATACTGTATATTTTCGTACAGAGAATTGTTAAGCCACACGACCGACGTAAATTTCCATTTTTATGTCGTGAATTCGCGAGCAAGATTTCAAGTCCTCTGAAGATTACGATGCGGAGACAAGAAGTAATGTGTAGACATACACATATATATACATACATACATACATATATATATATATATACATATATATATACAGCTAGAAACATTGTACATAATTCAGGCTCATGCATGTTACAAAATATCTCTAAGTAACGTGAAGTTGCTTTCCAGAAGACACTGATCACTATCTTTAGAGAAAAAGAATATATATAATATAAGAATACACATACATATAAGCTGGGAATATGCAAACACGATTATTGTTTCTTTATAAGCAAAAACTTTAAGAAGCTTACGCAAAACCTCGTTCGAAAGTAACGAATGCGCAGGTAGATTGCCTCATTAAAAAAAAAACAAAAAATTCAGTATCTCATCTTAGTTGGAATTTGTAGTTTCGACATTAAAAAGAAAATGTAATGATATTTTAGATAAATGGACAGTTCATACAACGTTAAATCTAATAAGCGTAATGATTTCGTAAAAGTTATTCTTATTTCCTTTTTCACTTGAAAATTCGATTCTTGTGATAGCAATGTGAAATATGTATTTTTTAATATGCTATATTTTACATTCAGCAGGTGAATACAGTGATCTCGATTTACATAATATAAAAAAATAAGACATTTCATGTCTTGTAATAGAAACGTGTAAAGAAATGTGATAAAAAGTTTAGGAAAAAATGAACATGCAAAAATCTCAGGATATGACGTGAACTTCTTATTGTACTGAATTTTAAGTAATAATAATTTAATTGCCGCGACAATTCCCTTTCAGTTATCGTTAATAAAAAAGTAAAAGTAAAAAATCTCGATTTTAATTCTAAATTCGGGATAATGCAGCAAATAAAAATAAAAATACCTTTCAATAGGAAAATAATTTGTTAAAATAAAGAAAATGATAATTATTATCGGATATTATTTGGAGAAGCTCATATAGTCGTAATAGTTCCGTAAATCAATATTACGTTCTGAGGATTAAATACTAAATGCGACCACGATGGCACATTTGCGCAGACTTGACTGTCTTTATAACAATTAAGCGTGCAGCAAGAAAGAAAGTACGGTTCCCGTGATAGGAATATGAAATATATATTTTTTAATATACTATATTCTACATTCAGCAGGTGAGTACAGTGATCCCGACTTACATAATATAAAAAAATAAGACATTTCACGTCGTGTAACAGAAACGTGTAAAGAAATGTGATCAAAAGTTCAGAAAAAAATAAACATGCAAAAGAGAGTAAGAATGAAAATAAATATAAACCATTTACATACCATCTTCTTTACACAAATCAACTGAAATATATTTAAGGTATATTTTATCATTTATTAAATCATCACTGAGCGTTCTTTCTATTTCAAATATGTAAAATCGATGCTCGCGCGCGTACGTATAGTATCTGCGCAATTTTGAGAGAAAAACGGAGTTTGAAAATTTTGGCAGCAGATGCAAAATGGAGATACCGTTCCTAAAAATTAACCGTTTCATATTAATTGAACATATACTTGAAATGTGCCGATAGACTGTTTTATTCCATTCGATTTTTTGCGAACCTTCTTGTTAAAGATTTAAATACATCATTAAATTAATGCTGTAAACGTATGTCTCAAAAATATGTATATGTACATTTCCCATTGAATAAGCAATTTTTATGGCAAGTTTTTCTAACTTTATACACAGATACAAAAATGGAACTAGCCATAATAATTGCGAGTAAAATGGAAATCAAATAGCTTTGTACGGAAAAATCAAATGCAATTCTAAAAATACCGCATCCGTTATTTGATTCACGTTTAAAAGCAATTTATCTGAGGGTGACAACTACTGCAGTTTTCAAGCGATTACGTTTAAAATACAAATTTAATTAAAAAAAGGAATGTTACGAAGATGGATGATAAAATTCGCTGACGATAAAATTCGTTGACTGATTTTTTTTTATGAAATTTGTATCTACGTAACACGGCGAGTCAGTCGATGTATTGTTGAAGCAATGACATTTGCAATTTATATAGTAACTAAAAAAATAAAGATATAAAGTTATAGAATCCGAATGTATGACTATGTGAATTTTAAAAGTTTGCTGACTGGCATTTTATGAAATGAACTGACAATTTTATATGAAAAAAACTACGTTCGAAAACGAATGTAAAATAAACGTTAAAGTAATGGATATCTGCATATATTTTATGTGCTCAGCATTCCAACTAATAAACGACGTTATTATTAAAACTGTAAGATATATATAAAACCGGTCCATTAACAAACATTTCGTTGAAGACAGATTGTGTCCATGATATGTACTACATAATAAAATTAAACAAACAAATTAAACTAATGAATAACAAAAGCACAACTTTCATTATTTCATACGTAAGGAGGGATAATGTACAGAAGCCTCTAGCATCTTTAATTACATAAACACACGTATGTGACTAGCAACAGAAGGAGAAAACAAAATCATTCGGATTTCAGCGGTAAATAACGGCACATTGAAAACATCGAGCAAAAAATTCGCATTCTCCGCTTGCATCCATCCACTGCCAAATTATCATCGGACAAGTAATAATGTAAAAGTACACGGCCGTCACACATAGTTGTCGCTATTACAATACTGGGATTTATTAGAGTGATAAATAATTAGCGAAACTCCTTCGCAAATCCCATTCTTATGCGTTAAATTCAAAAATTTTTCGGGTCTGAACGTGAAAAATTTATTTAATTTAATCTTAATTATTTATTTAATTTAATCTTAATTTTTAATTCAGCAAATATGACAATCTCATTTTCTTAACAATCTGATATTTCTGTGTACATTTAAAATTTGATAATTCATAAATATTGATTAGTATAATTTACTTAAATACCAATTATAACGATAATTAAAAATATTTCATTACTTTTAACAAAGAATAAAAAAATCTTTATCTCACTAGGACTTGCCTAATTATTGAATTTGGATTCGATTATATAGCGTAAGGTCCAATATAATAATAACTCATTCACTTTTAACGAAACATTCAATAATTTATATAAGTTATTAATTTTAAAGAACAAATCTTTTTCATCTCATGTACTATTATACTTTCACACACCCAAGTTGTTTCACGTTTATTTACGCGATAAATCGACACAAGGCAAATTTGATTTCTCGCAATCCGCTTAGAGCATAACGACCAAGTCCCCTGCGACTCAACGATATTAGCTGACAATCCATTCGCGCGTGGAAACGCAATCGCGATAAAAGTCGAGAGATCGTGGCAGCAATTAACGTGGATACGATATCACGGGTAATTCCAGATCCATTAGCGTCCTCGGCTGCGCGCGCGCATCGACCGAATCGCGAACGAGATTAGACGAGGGAGAAGAGGCTGGGGAAAGAACATTTTTCGCGCCTGTTTCAATAAGGTGATTACGAGAGTCGCAACGGATTAGCGTCTGTCTTGACATGACGTAGTAATCGCTCGCGGCACGATTAGTTAGAACGTTCAAGAACATTGTGTAAGCAGCTAAGAACATCAACAGTCAACAGCTAAATACGGCTATTGCGCTTCGATTTTCGCTAAACAAATGGGTAAAGCAAATGGGAAACTTTACCTTGCCCAAGGGCGTCGATGGCTGACCGGCCGGCGACGGGTCCTTGATGTAGATATTCCACGTAGCGACGCTGTTGATGGCCTTATCGGCGGCGTAACATCTCCATAGGCACTGTATCAACATCGCAGCAGCCGGTATTTGCCGATTGAAGTGCTTTTGTCGTTGCTTTTGTTGTACCTTCAGTGCGAAGCCAGAACCTAGAATACCCTGAAAAAGAAATGCGAAAACACCAACTCACGAGACACAATATAACAGTCTGATCGCATTCAATTGTATAGATTTCTACAGAGGTAGACAAAAAATTAAAGTTTGAGTTCTTCAGTCAATATTTCCTTTCCAAAAATATTGTAAAAGTTGTAGCTTGTGAGTTACAAGCAATGCAAGATAGAATTCTTGAGAATTCATATTCCAAAAAAAAAAAAAACAAATACAGCATGAAAGATTCGTATTTCTTAATTTTAAATAAATTTGGATCGAGTTCAAATTTATGGTTTGATTGCAAAGATATTAATTACGAGAGATTGATTTCGATATATTAAAGAATCTATAAACAACAAGTAACTATAAGTGCAAGACATTCTGTGTATTATAAAAGAAAAGGAGAACAATTCTTTACAGTAATGTACTTACTGCTGGAAGTGCGAAAAAGGATATAGCAAACACGCTGAAACATGAGGCCACTATTTTTCCCATCCATGTTTGCGGGACTGTATCACCGTAACCTATCGTTGTTACTGTGATCTGTAATACATCGAAAAACATCAAATACTCCTAATGTATTAGGTGTTGGAATTAATTCGTAGCGTTTTTTAATGAAAGAATGTTATTTATTTCACATGAGCATTAAAAAATACATTAATGAAAGTACTTCCCATCACTTGTAAAACGCTACGAATTAATTCCAACACCTAATACATGGAATTACACTGTACACACAACGTCGCATTCATAATGATATTGACAATGAATTTAATGTGAAGAGTTTTATGTCCGCATGACACACCGTTAACATAATTTGTAAACCATTTAACTCGCAAAATATAATTAATTATACCTATTAATTAGCATATATTACGTTCCAATAAGCAATTTGTGCTGCCTGTATAAATAGTGCAATTTGCATTGCGACGCAATGCGAGCATTGATATCAATATCGACATCAACATCAATTCATATCGTTTTGTTCGTTGAAATGTATCATTATCATCATGGTGAAAATATACTTCTATTATGGTTATCATTAAACTGATGGCAGAGAACGACACGTAACTGTCGTAGTTATAAGGTTAAGCAGAGAAAAACTTATATGTAAGCATAAAAAAGCTATTGTGTTACGGTATTATGTTTTTCTCTGCCTTACCTTACATCTATAATTCTATAACTATGACAGTTATGTTCTCGTTCTCTATCATCAATAAATTGCGAATCGTTAAAATTGTTTTAAAAAAATAATCCGTCATCACATTATCGTTCTTGAATTATTTCTACAATTTTTACATGACTAATCAATCACACATTCGTTTTTACATCATTTTTTTCATAGAATTGATTTATTACATTTCGTTCTTACATTTAAATTGCACTTTTAATGGCAGGAATTAATCCAAAATCTATTCATATCGATTTTTTTTATTATCAAGTAAAAATACATAGATTTGCAATTAGATAATGAAGTGCAACAAGATAACAATAGCGTTAGTGTACAAAGGGAAAGATATATAATTTAAAAATACAATATTTATAACTAAAAAAAAAACAGAAATAAAACGTATAATTAATTCGTACAAGTTATTTAGAAATCTTTCTACATTTCTTTCTACATTTTATATTAAATATATAATATATATTATTATATTAATATATAATATTAAAATTACAAATAAATAAAACATATAATATAGAGAGATATTACAGAAAATACAAAAATCGTTAAAATAATCAGTAACAAAAGACGAACTCACCACTCCCCACCAAAGCGCATCGGCATAACTCGCGAAGTCTGTTTTGCCGTCCGGTCCAACTGCATCTTTTTCGGCAAGATATACGAAATAGCTGCTGAAAATGAGGCCTAGGAACCCAATGTACAGTGTTGTAATCAACTCCTGTTAAATAAGAAAAATAAAAATGTCTTGCAACTATTAATACCAAAATTTCATGTGAGTATGTATATATTTTTTTGTAAAATGTACATAAATGTAGAAATTTTTATATATTTCTAAACCTCATAAAGGTATTCACACAAATACTTCCTTACAATAGTTAAATTAAAGTCATTGTTAAGATCAACTTGTGTATTTTGATATTTTCGAGATATTTTCGCAATAATTGGTGGCATACCTGACGATGTATGAAAACCACCGAACCCAGAAGCCGCCACGTACCACCTTGACGATCGACGTGAAGCATTCGCAGAATCTGCAAAAACCGAATGCCTCTGATGGCAGAAGTGGCGAATACTTGACCATTGCTTCCTACTGACAAGACTACCATGGACGCTACTACGACAATTAAATCTGAAAAGAAAAAATGAGAAAAGTATCTTATGATAAATACAAAAAAAAACATAATCGCGATAAATTCGAACATATCTAATATATGTATATCATTATAGATAGGGTAATTTTTATACTGTTATGTCGATTAAATATAGTATAACACATATGCACACGCAATATTTATTTATTTTAATACATCCTCATTTACAAAATACACATATTTATTCTAATATGTATAATATATATATATTTTTGGATATCGATTAAACTGCACATAATCGGCAGCAATTGATATATGTAAAGCGTGTAATCCGATTAATGTCTTATCCGGCGTTACTATCTGCAAGATACGTCGACAATGTACATTGTTAACGATTAAAAACAATTCTCTTTCCATCATGCGTTATGAAATTGCTGGAATAGATGTAATCTCAGCAATTCCGCGGCTGGCCTGTTAATAATAATGTTCCATTTTCTACATTGCGGACATTTACTATTCTGCACTTACAGACGAAATAAAGTAAAATACGGTACATTCTCAATTATTTGAGATAACTGTTGGAGAAAAGATACGCGCGAGATAAAAAAAAACATAAATACTTCAGCAGGTACTATTTACCACGCAGACAACAATAAACGACGTAAAATAAACTTAGCACCGAGACACTACCGTATCTTCAGTTTTGAAAAAGCATAACTCAAATTGATTTACCGCAAATTGCAGATACACGAATATGTATTATTAGATATGTATTATTAGAATAATAAGAAAATTTAGATGGCGAGAATCTTGTTGTGCTGATATAATCTTTAATAATTCTGATAATATCTACAAACATATAGATAATTAAATACATATGGAAATTGATTTGATCAGCAGTTTGCTTTTCAGATAACATTGGAAAAAAAATAAACTCGTTTGTTTTATTGTTTCTATTTTTATTGTTAAGCTTTCAATCATGCATTTGTCGTCAACGTAATAACAAAGTTTACGAAATAGAGGCTAGGTAATCAATTTTCAACAGGCGAGTCTTCAATTAAGGGAGGAATTTCGATGTTCGCATGTGTTTCATTTGTAAAACGCGTCTGACAGAACGATGATTGCGATACAAAGCGCCCGCAATCTTGATTTTAGTAAAATGGATTCGATATTAAGGCCACAGTTTAATATCGCAAAGTTGGTCAATAGCAACGATCACAAACGATCCTATACTACAAACAATACGAAACAAAGGGACGATTATCAAGATCCTATTTTGTCGATCGAACAATGCAAATATCAGATTAATTTTGGTTGTATTAAAGTTTGATCGTGTCGTGATTCATTGTTAGGAGAAAACGAGCAACAACTCACCTATGATACAAATCGGTTTCCGTATGAATCGTAGCCGTCCACAGCAGCCCATATACTTCGATCTGCAGCCCGCGCTCCATAATCGAACCAAATATTCAACTCCGAAGAACACCACGAGACATATTTCCTGAATAAGTAATGAAGTGTAAGTGATCTCTCAACCTTGAACTTGATACTCATAATCGGTTCTTATTTTAAAATTATCTTATGTAAAGTCTTAAGATGCTAATACGGCTCTATTATCGACTTATGACATCTCAAGACTATACTTAAGATGGTTTTAAATATAAGAATAGACTATGAATATATTGATTTAATTGAATTCATAGCAATCGTGACAAATCGACAATTATATATCCAACGTCGATGAGAAAATATAATGGAAAAATATCTATAGATTAATATAGACGTTGGCTAATTCATCTCTAAAATAAATATACAAAGTAACACTTGAATAGAGTTGGCTGTATCGATTGTACTAACGCTGTTGTATGAACGGGATGCCCTAGAAAAACGAGGATGTCGACGTTAGAACTGCAACAAAGTGGGCGAGATCCTTGAGAATTGGCTTATACTATATTCTTTTATGATACAGAACATTGACGAGCTTCGTGCTTTATGTACGCTTATTTTCTTCGCGTGGAAAAAGATGAAAAAGAATCGCGAGCGAAGATTTTTACAATATTGAATACCGATTTATGAACGACATTTGTACCGAAGATAGTCGTAATTTGACGTGTAAACCTTTACAAAGTTTTCCCTCTTTAAATGATAAAAGATGAGAGGGAGGATTAATTTCATTTATGCAACCAACGGTGATAAAAGAAGAGAAAAAGTTTGTCGAGAACTGTTGTAAAGTCTATTCTCGGGCGAACCAACAAATTTAAAGTATTCTTTTCGAAGACTAATTAAATGAGGTTTGCTTTAACTTTCTTACGGAACGTTACAAACCCTTATTTATGAATTCCTGTCAGAATCACTGTCAGTATTTAACGTTTCGCACTTGAAAAGTACAATGACAGATAGATGGTGATATTCTATCAGATGCACCTAATTTTTCCCTCGAGACGAAACATTAAGTTGGATTTTAAACTTGAATAGAAAAGTATATAGAATAGAAATACACGCACCCAAAATAATAGAGATACAATAATTAAAATTCTATTACAAAAATAAAAAAAAGATAATTTGCAGAACGCTTGCAGAATCGATATTTTTATCGAGTTTTAATTCCAATATATATGCACTAAGATAGAAAGAATATATAGCACTATAGAAATATTAAGTATAGAAAATATTCTCAATTGCAACAAATGGATGGTTTAATTGTTTCAATATTAAAAAAAAAATTCCACATTAATAAAAAAAAAAAAACTTTTAGATAAAAAATGGTTCGTTAAATCTATACGCATACTTTGTACGAGTGTACGTCAAACGTATGTTTTTTGCACTGATGCAAAGGAAAGTACAATCAATGTGATTGCGATAGAATACTTTCAATTTAGCAGTTCTGCAGTATTTCTTTAAATAGTGTTATTGACATTATTTGATGCAGAGATGCTTTTAATATCCTATCCAGTTATACGTTATATATTATTGTACTTAATAATGAATACGAGCTACTCACCATCCAAAACAGAGTTTCGTTTGCGAAGTTACTGTATTGATCTATCGTTGACAAAACGCTAAATATGAGGCACACCAATACCACCATGAACCTGAAAATAAAAATATATAATGACGTATATGGCAAAGCAAACTTTAATTAGAATCTAGTACAGTTATAAAATTCTAATCAGATAAATGATTGATTAGATTGATTCATTAGAAGCGTGGGCGTGTCATATATGTACATTAAAATCAGATTTGCATCTAAAGCGACTTCAGGATCTTGATCTAACTCTCTATCATGTAACAAATACAGAATCAAAACTTGATTCTATCATAAAGTTTCATCTGGAGTAGCGATTTGATTTATTAAAAGCGTGGACTATCGTATGTTACAATTAAATACACATTTATAAAATATAATTCTTTAGATTCTTATTAAATTCAACTGCCATTTTCTTTTTTCAGCTTTCGACTGATAATTTTCGTACTATTAAAAATAATATAAAACTGCTGGATGATTTGTTGATGTGTTTGCTTGATGATTACGCGTTTAATCACTAAAAAAGTAGATCATTAAAAAAGTAGATGTTCCTAAACCAATACTTTTTCAGTTTTAAAACTTTATAAATATAGGTCTGTATTCAGAACGCGTTTTTATCGATAAAAGCGCGCTTTTATCTCCGAATTTCTATAATATACATAACGTAAAGTATAATATAACATGTCATGGCACGTTCTGAATACGGGCCATGGAATCTAATTTCTCATACGAATACATGAGAAGCAACATAAACATATATTAGAAATAATCTTACAAAATAAACAAAATAAACTGAAAAAAGATACAATAATTTTAGAGTCAATCTTCTCGTAAAGTAAAAAAAGTTTATCGCATTACAACTTGCGCTTATCTAATTTCTACTCTACTATTAGCATTAAATTCCTTCATTTGTTATACCTTTTAAGAATTGAAATTCCATATCATTATTACGTTTTAAATTACAATTAAAACATATTATATATACATAATATACTATGTTGTATAAAATTTGTATTAATAAACCTTCATTAATGATAATCCAGATCAGTATTAAACTTTTGTGATAATTATAATACCATTAGTAATTATAATACGCTTAAACTATCGATATTATACAATATATATAAATCTAACATATTATAATGTAACAAACATTCAGTGATTAAAATGCGACATAAATTACATTATTATATTTCTTAACTATATATTACGTATATTACAAATTGACTATGTATGATGTTTCAGTTTTTGCATCAGCAGAACTGAAACTTTGCTTTATTGTTAATTCCAACTCTGAATAATAAAAGTGCTGCTAAGCTTACTTAAATTCTTCCACTAGAATAAACTATTCGTTTTAAACTACTGAGTCTAATCAAACTGACAAATTACTTGATAAACTTGACATAGACATGATACTGGACATATACTTTACTGATTACTGGTTGCAAAGTATAACTTTATATTTAAACTTGTAAAAGAACGTTATCAAGTATAGATATATATATATATATATATATATATGCATATACACACACATATATATGTATATATATATATGTACTGTATATACACACATACACACACACACACACACACACACACAACCGATCGATCAAGGTCGCTTATATTCCGCGACGATTGAATATAAAAATATTCATAGACAATGTATCCGCGATTACTTTGCTATTATCGTGTCTAATAAGAAAAATCATTGTAAAAATTGCGAAAACCACCATTTTTTTGACAAAATAGTGAAATTGATCAAAAATTTAATATTAAAGTGCTATACATATGTATAGAAAGAGAGAAAAATTACATCCGAGATTTTCCAATATTATTTTGGCACATCTATTTTCTAATATATTATAATATAAATTCATTGATTATTATGTATTGTATATACAATTACAAATTAATAAATCTTGTATAAAAAAAACTTTGCGTTATGAATAAACGTAAAAGATAATTTCATAAAAGTACATATTACAAGTATATATAATACTAGACAGTTTAATAAAAAGATTCAATTCAACGTCAAAAAATAATTTCGATAAACAGTTTATGTGAACAAAAAATTCTACATCTTTTAAAATTTTTTACGAATTTTAACTATAAATTTCTAGAGGATCATGTTTTTAAATAACAAATGCTCTTTGATGTTTTAGTTGCATATACTCAAACATGCATTAATTATGTTGCGTACTTTCGTATGTTTAATAATAAAATATAATCGCCGTACAACAAGATTTGAGGTCGCACATAATATCGAATTCCGATTGCAAATGTAGTTTCGCAAATGTGTTCGTGAGAAGAATCGCGATATCCGTATGTGTATCAAGATTCACCTGCACGCTAACTCTTGCAAGTAAACGTTCAGAAATGTCAGACGCCAATTTTTCTCGAAATTTTTACAGTTGTTTCTTATGACAAAATAAAAAGAAATCTGTCATTAATTTTAGCGCAAATTGTGTCTGTCTATTAAAAAAAAATTTTTTTACAAATTTTTATATATTTTTATATGTTTAAAGCAATATTTCTTACTCGGTACACATATAGAACACCAAAATAATTAAAAATAGTTAAGATATTCATGAAAAAAACTTTTTACAGAAACATAGCTGGGAGCTGATTTGAATTAACCTCGGATTATCCTAACTCATAAAATAAAAAAATCACTAACTAAAGCGCTATTACACAATCTAAATGTGTATCGAGCTTCGAAATATCGAATTTATATTTATTTATAAGAAATATTGATTTAAACATATAAAAATCGGATATTTGTAAAAAATAAAAAAAAAACTTTTTAATAGATAGACGCAATTTAAGCTAAAATTAATGACAGATTTCTTCTTATTTTGTCATAAGAAACAACTGTAAAAATTTTGACAAAAATCGGCGTCTGACATTTCTGAAAATTTACTTGTTAGCGTGGAAAAATTCGCTTTTTATCTTCTCGGCCAATTTTTTAAATCCTTATTGTGAATCTTAATCAGCTGCTTATCGATGCTGTGCATCGCACGAACCATAATGATGTAGAAAAAAAAAACGATGTGAAACAGCAAAACAAACCCCGCATATGCGAGGGCATGAACGGGACCGATAATTGCTATACGATCTCACGATCGATTGGTACTTTCGTTATTTGTACAAGTAATTTATTATTGAGCGTTAGCTCGTTGAGCAACGAGACGAGTGCGCGGCATTAATGAAAGCATGCGGCCTCCGGTAACTCTTTAAGATGGCGTGTCGAGGGCCTATAATTCCGACGTATGTACAGCACTTCGTGGCTACACGGGTCACCTTCATCGACCTACTATGATAATTGTCTAACATATTCCTCCTTTTTTCCCCGGGCATCGCTAGGAACTCATCCATCTTCCGTCGAGCGTCGGACATCTCGCTACTCGCGGATAGCATGCTTTTTGTTTGGCTGTGGAAATGCCAAAGTCACGGGAATGTCCGTTGAATAAAACGCAAAGTAACAATTCAGCCTATCGCTGAACTTTAAAGAATTCCTTATTTGTTTTATATGCAATTAATTTTTTTAATTTTGTCGTTGAATTGTTTTGTACGTAATAAAACAGATATATTTTTATATCTGAAAAAAATATCTGAAAATTTCTTAATTTTTCAGATATTTTCGGTTCAAATATTTAAACATACATTATGTGTATGAGTATTTTTAAATGCAAATTTAAAATAGATGTAATTATCATCTTGATTTTTGGTCTTCTTTTTATTTATATGATTATGAAGAAAAAATTAAAAGTTATTTATTCAGTCAGACGAAGAATTGAAGAAGAATTGAAGAAAGAAAAGAACTTTAATAAAATAAGTAATAATGCATAAAAAATTCATTTTTTAACTTCCAAAAAATACAGAGAGAAAACAGAATAAATACAACAGAAGAGATTAAAGAAAATCTTTTAAAATGAAACAAAACTTATTCCTAAATCTAAGTCAATCTTATCTGAAGATCTAAAAAAAATTTCAAGCAAGACTTACTACTATTTGTGAAAAAAAAACATTTTGAGAGATAATTTGAAGATAAAAATCTTTGAATTACAACAAAATTCCCGAATGAAAATATCTTGAATTCTTCAAATAGAAAGAGATTCTCTGATTCTAGATTTTTATAAAAGATAAATCATCGTACATTTGATCGTTTGGGAAAACTCCATATGAAGAAACAATATCTCGGAAAAAAACAGAATTTATTATAGGATACTTTGTAGAATTGAATTGAAAAGCTGTGACAAAATCTATAATTATCAATAATTAACACTTGTCAATGGACGGCACGTTATTAACGGCTAAACATATATAAAATGATTGAGTGTGTATATCAATTAACCTACATGCGATCGAAGGAAGATAGAACGTGCGTGTATGACTCCTACAGCAATAGTGTCACGTTATGTCGCATCATTTATTCATACTTGCGGTTTAATTACAAATGGACCTCCGAGGGCTCGGAATAACGTAAATTTCTCTGATCGCGCGAACCGCTCGATATGCGCAGATAAGTATCTATGCTAAGTATCTATTAATCATTCTTACGAAAATTGAATTTACATTTACGCGTGTGGTACATTGTACCTCTAATAAAACAAATTAATTCAAAAAGAATGTAATTCATTAATGAAGAGACTAAATAATATAATATTATCACGCGTGATGGATATATGCGGCGTAATTCTCCTGTCGTTTCCGGCAAATTAAAAAAAAATGGAAAGGTCAAAGGTAATATTTCGCTGAGAAGATAAGATCCTTTTTCGCTGAAAATCAATTCTTGCTTGGCCGATTATGCAATTTTCTAAAATTATGCCCTGTTATTATGGACTTTAAATTATTGTAAATAAATTGCGCATGTCGCGCATGTCCGATGTTTCATTTATCGATTTACATCGATATTTAAGCAAATTGATTGTGATTTTCTGATCGTTTGATTTCATTGTCAAGATTCGCGCTTTCTGATCGCGTTTAAATTACTGAAAAATTTAATAACGACCACACAAGGCACGATATGCTCCATGGGCATCATTATATGCGATATCGATATATCAGTTCGCGCGCGCGTGCGATTCTCATCTAAAAATAACAGGCTACACGCAAATAGTTTGCATATGCATTGGGCCTAACAACATGCTGCCATTTACGCCCGTTTGAAAGTAGGCCAGTCGAATTAGAATTACCTCTATTAACAGGGCAAATTTCTTTTATCCGTTTAACATCACCATGCATAAGATAATACGCTTACATCACATTTAACTGACGTTTTGAAACTCAAACTGATAATTATATTTTTTAGAAAAAAATTACTTATAATTTTAAACTCTGCAATAATGAGAGCTAAGATTAAAGATTTAAATTAAATTAATATAAAACCGTTTTAAAAAACGTGATATAAAGAAATGACAGATTTCTTAAATCTTTCTTGATTTAATATTTTTCTGAAAATTTAATCTTGTTTTATTATACAATAATTGATATTAATAGAGTAAAAATTGTGAATTCAATAACTGAGTGTAATCTATTTATTATATTTTCAACTTCAACTCAATATAGAACTAATGGGTAAGTTCCTCATTGCAGCAGAGTCTCTCTCTCTCTCTTTCTCTCTCTCACTCATTCTCAAGATTGAATGACTCTTATCCCTTTTGCTGTTATCCTCCCTCCTCGATCACATTAATATCAGGTTAGTAATAGTACGATAATAGATAATAACAGGTACCGTAAAGTCAATCGATAGGATTACTCAAGCAATTAAATATTTACTGCAGCGTTTCGTGCAGCGCAACTTCATTAGTCGGCTATCTAACGATTGTATAAACGACGCTGTATTAAAGCCGCACGAAGACTATTCGCTATAATCATGTAACAATCGAATACGGTCGACGAGTTTACGAAAAATTTGAAAATTTATTTCTTCATATCGCTAGATTTTAGAGAGAAAGGATTATAAGCTTTAGGTTTATTTCATAAAAACGTTAGTGTGAAAAATGCAGCGATACTTTGTAAAATTATTTTTAAATACCGAATGGATGGAATGGAATCTATATAAGCATACGTACTTCAAAGCTGATCGTAAAAAAATTTTTTATAACGTAAAAATAGTAGTATGGTTAAAAAAAATTTTTGTATTGAGTAATTGTCAGATAACTGTTTTAATAAACTTAATCATGCTTTTAGATTGTTGCTTTTAAATTAAGATATTAAAACATACAAACGCAAAAAATATACTCCAAGAAATAGTTGTAAAAACAAATTATATGGATATTTTCAGTATACAGGAAAAATGAATATATATTTCCAGAAATGAATGGCGTGTTCGACATAATAGTAGTATCTCGGGTACAAAATGAAAGATGCTTCCGTGGCAATTTCCGAGTGTAGCGTTTTGACTTTTACGTCGTCAAAAATAGCGACATATTATCAAGAAATCCCGCGTGTTGCAATAAGATGCGCAAAAGAATTTTAGCATATTATCTATTATTAACACATTTATTTCCAGTAAACTCGATTATAATATTTCGAGAAAATTGTGCGAATTCGTAAATTAGCCATAACTTTAAGTAAATAGTCTTATCATACGTACGGTTATTTCACAACGCGAAGATATCTTGGATTCGATTTTGAATACATAAAAAATATAATTACTCTGATAAAAATGTTCTAATTTATTTATAAACATATAAAGTGTCGTACTTTTTGCACATTATAAGTATCTTTAATTATTATTATCTTTTATATACTCTTATTAAAAAAAGAATTAAGTCCAAATGAAGACGCTTTGACATTAAAAAAAATAATATACGAGAAGTCCATATAGTGTTAAAGTATTAATGAGAGAGTACTGTACAATATTATGTATAAGACATAAAACAAAATAAAGGACTAAATAAAATGTTAATAGCTTCAATTTCTCACACTCTATATCATTCGCGTCCAAACTTAAACGAAAATAGACGGAAAGTGTCGGCAAGATGAAGAAAAAAAGTGAGAAAACTTAGGTATATTCGACGATCGATTTGTTTCGTGGATACGTTGCCGCGTTTTGTTTTGATAATGAATTATTTAAAAGGCTGCGGTGCTTGGCGACAGTTTGAAAGAAATGAAAAACAGGCTATTGAATAATGCACGAATCCGCGAAATTTTTCAGTGGATGATGCCTGCCGGAGCAATAGATGTACTTCGTCGGCCAATGTATACGTTTGCATGAAACCGAAGCACAATGAATGTACATGCAATGTTGTTTATTAATATCCTAAGACTATTCTAATTTTCTTATATATGAATACACACTCATGTAATGTAAAAAAATATATAAAAGTCGAAGAAAATCTACGAAATTTATGAATAAAGATAACTTGGATAGGATATGATACGACGGAATACAATATGCAACATTATAATAAATAACTGCAACTGACTTTGATTGATCTTTCTGCCTTTATCAAGTTTTTATATGAAAAAGATTCTTTCCACTTCCTGTAAGATATCATGTTACACAAACTCCCTAACAATTGATAATTTTCTGAGACAATGATGGGGCAAAAATAAATAAACAAAGATATATAATGAGGATGTTTTCGAGGCATTGTAAATATTTTTAACGTACAGAAATAGAAGAATAAATATTATTTTCAAAAAGAAAACTTTCTGACAAAATTAATCGGTTTTATCGTCTTATCGCATCGTCACAATGAAAATTTTCATATCACAAATACATTTAGGTATTCCTGTAAAGTTATTCATACATGTACATACGTTCTCAGAATATTCAAATGCAAAAAAGTGAAATATTATGTAGGATTCTTTCTTTCATATTCTGCTTTCCAAGAAGTTTCAAACTTGTCCGCATTTTTCAATAGAATATATTATAATATATTAAATATGATATATTAATTATAATATTAAATTCATAAAACTAATATGCGTATCTCGAATGAACCCATATTTTTAAAGAATGTAAAAGAATAAAGTTATTAAATTCTAAGAGCTTTCTCTCGTAACAGTAAGCCTATTGACCTCATATAAATAATATCTTATAAACTATTACTTCCGCAAAGATTAAATTAGCAATTGTTTAATAAAGATATAGTGTGTAATAAGTTAAGAATATTACAAAAATTAAAGTATACCTGTAAAATTATAAGGAATCAGTATAATATGTAAAAATTTAAAAATTATAACAGTTTTTTCAGTGATAAAAATTAAATGCTAGACGTATAACATTTCAACCAACTTCTATAAGATGCAAAAGAAACCGTTAATATTTCAAGTTATAAGATCTTGTCGCTTAGTTAGTTAAAATGCAAATTCCTCGTATCGACGATGGAAATATAAAAGTTGACATCAGTTGTCTTGGGAGAATATATTTTACAATGACATTCTCAAAGTCGAATATTCTCAAGATATATTCGACTGTCGACGTTATATCGTTTGTTATATCGTTTTTTCGAATCAGGCCAAAATGATGAGCAATAAAGTCCCAGACGAGGTATCTGTTTTCTGATCAAAAATCAAAGATTGCGCCCGATAGACAGACTGATTCGAGCAAGTGTTCGATTGCAGACGGGGGAAGTCCTCGACGTTATCGAGGATTTGGGGCACGCCAGGTGTCAAAGGCCACGATGCGACGCCAAAATCGATGCTGCGCGAAGAACGGAAACAGGAGGAGTCTCTGACGCAGCATTTTATATTCGTGTCTTCTAATTAATGTTTAGTTCTTGACAGTGAACAAATGTATGTAAATTTATGTTTTTACAAATTTGTAAGAAGTATCGAAAAATGTGTTAATCGCAGAATGTAAGAAATAATCGTCGTTCTGCTCGAACGGAAGTGCAGAATACTCACACAGCGAAATGGTAGACAAAACACAGCCAACCACCAGGATGTTCGAGGAATACGTAGAGGCGCTCCTGAAAAGTCTTGCCCCTCTTATGATGGAACACGTACTTGGCCTTGAAGGCTTGATCGATCGGCAGATAGATCGGGTAGTAAGGATCGGGCATGCCGGTCTGATCAGGACTCGGCGGTTCCTCCTCGGCGCCAGCAACGTCATCATCAATGATGTCCTCCTTGCTCTTTTTGCGACGGTATTTCCGTTTCATGGGCGTCGGCACCCGCTTATGATGCGCCTCGCCGAAGCGTGGTGAACGGAAGCGACGTAAGAAAGTGAAACGACGCGCGGGTGAATGCGATTCCTCCGCGTTCGCGCCGTTGTCTTCGGTGTCCTCGGTCTCACTGCCGGGCGTCTTCAACGCGATGTCTTCCGCCTCAAGACCCTGTTCGGCCACGAGCTCGTCTTCGCTACCCTGAAGAGCAGCGTAGGCGGTCGCGGCGCTGCATCGCTTTTCGGCGTGCCTAGAGCATTGGTCCTTGCTTCGTGGAAGACTCTCGTTGTCACCTGGGCATTTCCAGGATTGACATTGGGGCCAGGCTTGGGAGTCAGAGATTGCGCCGCGATTACGACTCGTTACTCGATCCTTGAGACTCGAGAGATTAACGCGATAAAATGTGTCGCTTTTCTCATTCAAATTGAGGATTGTTGCTCATGCGTCGCGAAACAGAAAAGCAGTTTTAACTGTTATGTATATAATATAATATCAATGACACATATATATATATATATATATATATATATCACATTTCTAAATCTACACGAAATGGATAATTTGATTTTATAATTTTCGAGATGATCGTCAATGAGAGAATTCAATTGATGAACCTCGAATGAATCACCGACAATAAATAGATAGATCAGTCATCGTGCGGAGATTATCAAATATTTGATTTACGCGGCCAGAAGCATTTGCAATTCTAACCACTGGAGAACCACGGAGTAATATTCCATCCTGTAATGCGCATGAAAATCCGCCTGCGATCAAGAAGCTTATTTGCGAAATAGGATCGATAAGAACATCTGTTATTAAATGCATTCCTCTGAATAAAACATTTTAGAGAATGGTGTGAAAATTAACAAAGTAATTTAAATGGAACTTTGGTTAAAGTTCTTTAATTCTGTGTTTATATTGAGTCAGACAATTTTTATTTCTTTTATATTTTGTATTTTGTCTTTTACATCTTATAAGATCATATATGTGAGAAATACAACCAGTAGAAATCAATGTCTTATCCGGTCTAGTTGGATCTGAAGTGTATGATTCTGTGTGAATTTATATACTACGTATATACTACGTATGTAAAATGCGCATCGAAATGATTTTTCGGTCTCTTGAAACGCAAACTTTTTGAAACTAAACTACCGCAGTAATGTCACGAGTTAAATTGAATAGCAATTCAACAATTTGCTTTTTCTCGGACTCCCAGCCGAGATAATATTTTTCGCAATAAGAATTAATTATTTACAAATTCTAATATCATTCAGCATTATTAAGATCATTCTAAAATGCAAAAAAGTATCAAATTGTTAAATTGCTAATTGTTAAATTGCAATTTAACTCGTGATATTACTGCGGTAGTTTAATAGAGTTTGCGTTTCAAGACCGAAAAATCATTTCGGCATGCATTTTAAAGGACTACATACATACATTGTATGTAAAAAATTCACACAGAATCATACAAGCATTTAAGATCCAGCTAGACCGTTTAAAATATTGATTTCTATATTTTATCTTTTACTTAAAAAAATATTATTTAATTTACATATAATGAAGCAAAATATTTTTGTATCTTTTTATTAAATAAATTTAGTGCTATAGATATTAATAGAATAAAAATATTTTCATTATAATTGTCATCATTTTCAAGTTTTACATTTAATAGCCGCAAAAAGAGTGCTCGTTTTAAAAAATGAAGTAGCAAGCACAATTACCGCAGTTCCAAGTTCTTCACTCAACTTTTTTTCAAATGAATGACTTGTCGTAAAAGTTTCTTATTCCTAATGGCAAACGGCAAGATTGAAAAACCGAGAAGATCGTGCCAAAAAAAAGAATCATTTGATTGCAATGTCTTGTACGAAAAATATTATAGAAGAGATGCATTTAATATTAAAAGAGTACCTGTCGTGATTAACATTGATAGTGGAATAACGAAACATCAATATTCTACATATGCGTTTTTCTCACGTCTTTCCATTGTCTATTACGATTGTCGTGCTGTATCAGCGACTGTATAAGCAGCCTCTGTACAAAGGTCAATGGCGCGCACATACTTTAATCGATCTCATAAACATTAAAATGTTTTAATATCTTAAAAATTTTTTACATTCAGAAAATATTTACATTATTAGTTACTCAGAATAAAACGTCAATTTTATTTCTCGACAAAAAAGTCGCGAGTTTATTTTTACGAAAAAAATTGTCTATTAAAATATTAACTATTTATACGATTTCCATGAAATCATTAAGTTTAACATATTGCAAAGAGGATTACTAATAATTACACACAAAATATTATACTGCAGTATGATGTAGCGTTACAAAAAAAAAAACGTATATATAATATCTATCCTGTGTACGACAGGACGAAGGAGAGTGGAATTATCGGGAAGGCGGAACAATAGAAACCACAAATCCGACTCGCGTGCTTGTACATTAACGGGAATGAATTGTCTGTAGAGCTCTATTTATAAAAGCGTCCACATCTTTCGTCGTTTCTCTCTTCCTTTCAGACGACGAGATATTAAAAACTCCGTCACATGAACAGATTCAATCGCGTCGCAAATCGAGCCTCGAGTATCGAGCTAAGAGACACTGTCATACTCTCTCTCTCTCTCTCTCTCTCTCTCTCTCTCTCTCTCTAATCGAGCAAAAGTCTGGCTTCGCAATTCCGCTTTTCTGTTAAGCTACGCGAAAATTCACGAACTACGTGAATTCTCGTTTCCGGCTGAAAAGAATACATCTAATATTCGTCTGTCACGCGCAAAAATATATGCATACGTGTTGCATACATCGTTACCGTCGCTTTAGTCATGTTGCTTTCCTTTTACACGCATTTTGCAACAAACGGTCTGTTTCATATTACTGCGACGTTCATATTGCTATATGCGACGTTTTCATTAATTCAGAAGAATATATAAATTAACACCGCGGAATATGTACGAGTTCTCTTTAGCGAAAAGTCGCTGAAAGAAATGTAATTTTTAATTAATACAATTTTACACGGCTCTCATTGCTCCTATAAATAGTCGAAAAAAAAGTAATATATTAGAAAATGATTATATTTAAATAAATATATATATATATATATATATATATATATGTGTAGCAAACACATTTTTTATTCGTAATAAATTTAATCTTTCGGTTTTCTTTTTAACATTTAATTTAAAACTGATTTATATTTCATCTACGTATAGAATTTTGTTAATTATTCTCGCTTCCGTATGTATATATGTATATTATATTAACTCCAAACGTATTTTAATTGAGAGATTCTTTATTTCCTTCACAGAACTAACTGGAATTTATAGAGAAGGAGAGAAAGAGAGAGAGAGAGAGAGAGAGAGAGAGAGAGAGAGAGAGAGAGAGAGAGAAAGAGAGAATTTCAGTTAATCACAGTCGATTCGCTAAACCACATTGACAAAACGACCGACAAACCGCGGTATAAATATTCCATGACGTGCAACAAATGCAACGTGACCCAGAATAGTGGTTATCCACGTCACGCTTTTTCGCGAGATTACTTAGGGTTGTGCGATAATATACACATATAATGAATACATGAATCACGCTGAAAACTACGAGAACGACGCTTCAGTCTCGTATACCTAAATGACTGCACTTCCTATTATTCGGATGACCCTGGCAGTTAAAGTGACCCTGGGTGTGCGACTGATATGGATGTCGACACTGTTGTCGTTGCTGTTGCTGCTGTTGATTGATTGGCGACTTGAGGACACTCAAAACAAGGTCCTCGCGGGAAGGTACGATCCGCGTGATCTGTCGGCTTTGCCGGAAGAGAGTCTCCTGCTCGCCGCGATTCATCCTACAGCCAAGACGACGACGTTGGAGATAAAATCCTGGATACCACTCGCGTCTCCCCCGTCCTGGACCGCTACCTAGCATAACGGCGTGCAGCATCCCGGCTCCAACTTTCCGGTTATGGTCGATGAGCGGCTCCTTGTCTGCCGGTCGATCGCCCGATCACGCGACTTGTCCATGGTCTCCGAAATCACGAATCACCGAAATCCTCGTTCACCGTAAAGATCGTCCTGGGATGTAAAATATTGCGTAGTACACTGTCGGAAGTTTAATAGTCTAATCTTCGCGATACGTTGTTTCTTTGTGAATTATTCATCGACGGCACAATTTGCTTTGCCCATCCTATCGCGTTAAAATTTTCATCGCTATCGATACGAGAGAAAAAGAGAGATTCAACCGATGGTCCTAAAGGTGATCCTATCACCTTTTCTCTCGTAAAAGGTTATTTCCTTCACGGCACGGATATCGTCAATAGAATTATCTGACCTGGTCGTCGTCGACGAAATCGTTGATCGCGTCTAAGACGTAGCGCGATATACACTTTCGTATTCGTCATCATTAATTGCTGTTCTTGGAAACGCTCGTCAAAGTTCTCGACAACGATATGGACAAGTTTCCAATCAGCGGACATTGAATTGTCTTCAAAGTTGCCTTTCACACGTTTGCGCTCTCATTATTGGCGTCTATCACACGAATTCGTGTCTTTTAACCAATGTCTCGGTTCTTCCGTAAGTCTTACGGATCATCACGTTTCCCTCGTTGGTTCTGCTCGACTTCGCAGGATGAATCAACTCTTGTAACAGAATCACCCGTATTTGCCAAAGTTATTGCTTTCGAGAGACGTGAAACGATCGTGGATGTCAGATCGTGGATGCGGGTACTCGACAGTCGGGTTATGCATAATATGTCTGCGAGATGACGTGAGCTACTGAAACTTCTCAGGCAACTCGGAAAGGAGAATTTGGAAGTGCGCCATAGGCGAGAGGAAAGAAGAGACAATAGCGGAAAAAGAGAAAGAGAGAGAAAGTGAAAGATAAAGATAGTATGAGAAAGTTGAGAAGGAAGGCAGACGGAAGGGTGAGAGACTCGGAAATCTCCTCGTTCTCTGGAAGATGGATGTCGAACGCGAGCAGACTATTGGGACCTCACGATCGATCTTACCTACGGAAATCCTTCGAGTATTTATTCAGACTAATACGGTAATGAAATTCCGTCCCATAATTCCCTCATGTCTCTTTCTCCGTTCTGTACGCGAATAATCGTTGCTTAAGCTACGTCGCAAAATATATTTGTCGTATCACCGTTCCTCTCAGCATCTCCGATGGTCTTGACGTTTCATCATTACATTCACTGAGATCTTTTCCTTTTTTCATCCACTTGTCGTTCTTTTCCAATGGGTAAAACTGAGAATTTTATCTTGTGATAAAAAGACTTTGTTTCATGCTTCTCTAAAATATTCCACTCAATAGCGCAACCATGATAAAACTACCTACTGTCTCCATTAAAATGTTACTTACGTTCACATAGTACAACGAAATTTGTGAAAGCACTTGTACAAGCACTGCTCGTAATTCCTTATCAATGATTATCACTCAAAAAACGTATCCTTATTATTTTTTAATCTTTCTTATTATTTATTCAAATTTTGATAATTTTCTTCTTAACAGAAAATAGAAGCCTTCAACGATCAATGGTTTTTCAATCCCAAAATTATTTCTTCATAAATACGCATCGTCGATTCTCTTTCCAAGGAAACAAACCGATTAGTCGCAAAATAATGCTGCTTTAATACACTTTATGATTGCTTCGTTTATTGCTCTTAGGATGTAACGCGAAATCACAGAGGATCACTGATGTGTATGCACAAGAGAATTGACGCGCGTCGTAGACAAACCTTAATCCTTCTTAATACCACCAAAGCCGCATTGGGAAAACTTTTAGCTGTCTAACGGCCGCAAAAATAGAATCAACAATGTTTATCTTAACAACGTTTTCCGACACCTCAACAGTAATGCCGTGAGAGATCCGACAACACCGACGCGAATATTGGCATGCCCGTACCATGTCATTCACGCGCGATGCATTTTAAACACGTGTATAGTCTTGATTAAGTTTCGTCGCATCTAGCTGCAAATACAATGATTTTGTCAAATCGCAGTAGATTCCGGAGTTATCGCATGACGAGCGGAAGCATCTACAGCCTTTCGCGACACGATTGATCGCGATTAGCTTCTCGGGTTCCTCTCGATTCACTTTCCTCTTGATTCACTCATCGGAAACTTACCCAGTGCTCATACACGTTGCGATTAACAGTGAAATCATTTCTCGCAAAATTTATCTTGCAATTAGCTCGAGTTAAAGCTCCACGCTAAAGAGCGATTAAGTGGCACAGATTACTTGCACGCGCTCAACGAAATTGTCCAGAAGCTGCCTCGAGTACACACACGTGTATATATGTACTGTCAAGTTTGTCGAGTTGAAGAAAAAAGTAATTTTTCATGGACTCAAAGAAATTACTCCGCTTGCAGTCTTCGCGCGCAAAGTGTCAGTAGCTCAATTTCTTCAGCACTCCTCACGCCGTATGACGAATAATTTTCTTTTGAATGACATTCGTTTCTCAAATCCCTCTTCATACCATTCGTAAGCCTTCGATTATTATTTTATATATTTCAAGATTTTTTTTTAATCACAATATATCACGTTCATCATCACCGTGAGGTCAGCTGTGAAACAACCTTTCTCAATCTCCTCACTGATGAACTCGCAAAAAGTATCTCTCTCTTTCTCTTCCCCCCCCCCCCCCTCTCTCTCTCTCTTTCTTTCGCTGAGATAATGAATAATGAACGTGTGATATTTAAACACACATACACACACGGTCGCACGATTTAATTTACTGCACCCATTTGGAACAAGCAATTATCACGTAACGTACCCGCGCCCCTCCCACAATCCGTTTCATCGAGATTTCCTCGCCATCAAAGAGCTGTGCGCCCGAAAAACGCAAATACGAAAATCATCGACGCGTTGTCAGAAATAAATCAGTAGCTGATTAAAGATGGGATATATATATATATATATATATATATATACATATAATATATATATATTAAAAGTCACCGTCACTATCACGGCGTGCTGTTGCGTGTCCATGAGACCTTGGCGGACTGACCGTCGCACTGGTGCACGGTGCTACGCGACGATCGCTTGGCCGATCTGCCACGCGGCCGGCACGATCCATTCGATATGCAACACGCGCGATCACGCGATCACGAGGGTCGCGTGTCGTGACCCGGACGCTGAAGAGCGCGTGCTTGCTCTCAGGGCGACAGCCCGCAACCAACTGTGGCTCCTTTACCCGCCACCTTGTAGTTCCGCCACCCTCCGCAACCTCGAGCAGGGGTAGCTTGGCGCTTCTGCACGCGCTTGGAGCACACGGATTACGAGACGTGAGTTCTTCTCTCTCGTTTCCACGACCGTGGAAAACGTAATCGCTGTCTTTCTTCCCCCCCTCCCTCCCTTCTCTCTCTGTCTCTCTCTCACTCTCTCACTCTTTTTGCCCGGCAGGTGCCCGCACCTGCTCATGACCGCGACCGGGACCGGGAGAGCAGGTCACTTTACCCTCGCAATCTTGTCCCCACCCAGCTTGTTGGGATAATCTCGCTTGGAAAGATTAATAATCTTTCACTAAAATACAACAGTGTCCAGGCGGATGAAATATGAATTTTGAAAAGTTTAAAAAGATAACCAAATATGATTGCTGCAAAATTTGCGATTTTTCGATTAATTGTAAGAAGAAGAATATAATAGGCTGTAAAAGCCTTTTAACTGTTATTTCAATGAAGGTCTTATTATTTACGAAAAGATTTGAATCCTTAAATTCTGAAAATGGAAATGATGCTAAATATGGATTAAAAAGTAATAATACTAATTAAAAATACGAATTAAAAGGAAAAAAACAGCAGTCTGGTTAAATATTAATACAGATTCTCATCAGGAAATGCTGAATTGTTGAAGCATTACAGTTCTACACAAAATTTAACGACTGTGTGCCGACTCGTAATGCTAGCTACTCCCATTATTCCATGTTCGCATACGGTGCTTTCTGCTCTTATTTGAATTTCCGCTCGCACTTGCATCTCTCTGTTCTTCCTCCTTCTCTCTCTCTCTCTCTCTCTCTCTCTCTCTCTCTCTCTCATTTAACACATTGCGTTATAAATGCCCATTTTGTTGAACAACGAATTCAGAGAGAAACATGAAGATGAATGCGAACAGCGTGCACCTGTGCGTGAATGATTTCTGCATCAATTGGCACAGAATCTTGAGCGGATATTTCGAAAGAAAATAGTTTAAATGAGAGGAAACTTCAATTTTAAGCTACGGGGAAGAGCAAACAAGAAAATGATCGAAAAAGATGTTAATAACTGTGATCATTCAAATAAAATGTTTCAAGTTCGCACAAAGTAAGAGTATTTTTCGTCACTCCTGAAATAAATATCGATCGCAGAGATTGTCCTCTCAAAGGAAAGTCACAGTTGTAATAAGAAAGATATATACACATCTGAAACATGAAATTAGCTTTAAAAGTAATTTTGCAGGCAATCCGAGATCCCACGCTGCTGTTTAATTTAGTGCAGACCGAAGACTAGCATAATTATATTTAACTTATTTAACTGTTGTAATAAATTACGATCTACCAAAGAGAATCAGTTTGAAGGCGCTACTCAAATTGTCTCGCTTTTAATAAAAAAATATTATAATTTCTGTTTGATTTTTCCAATCGTCCTACGAAATTAAGAAAAAATATATAAAAAGTGTACATACTTTTAAATTATTTATGTAGTACACACGTTTATATATAATAAACAATAGTAACGTAAATCATGTAAAAGAATAATCATACTTCATATATTTATTCCACTTTTTAAATTAATACGTGACTTTATTAATATCATGTTTCATATATTAATATTTATTAATTCATATTTCAATTTATATATATAGAAAATATAAAACATTATTTATAAGTAAATTCCCTTCTGTTATAAAAACGTTTAATTGATTTTCCATCGTATTAATACACACAAACGTAAATGTAAAATTTTCAATTTAATGAAAAAATTCGCTTTATAGAAAAAAAATAAAAAATATACGAGAAGGATAAGTAAATACAACTGCAATATAATTGTAATCTACGAAATACGTTCAAAATTAATTGATGTTTATCAAAATATGGAATAAGAATCAGCTCTTTTCATACCTTTACAAGAACGGAACTGATGCGCGCGATAACGCTGTGTTTGTGGAACGTCCGTGAATGCACGCATCATCCGAACAATAATTCGCTTGTTCGATTGATTTCGACGCCCCACTTCGTCCGACACATGACGTCGCTACTGTGTACTCACGTCCGGTAGCGGGATATGTTTGCGCGCAAACCTGCAGTTAACTGCACAAACATTTCAGCCGCAACATAGCTCGATCGACAATGGCAGTCCGCAAGTCACCCTTTTTGCATTAATAATATTAATATTTGATAGAAAAATAATATTGGAGCAGTATGTTTAAAATAAGGGAAAGGATTAAAGAAGATCTTATAATTTTCTTAGCTTTTTGTTAACCCTCTATTTAAAAAAATCAAATCGATTTGCCATCACCTAATAATTATTTCATAGAAATTATTCTTTGTTATATAAAATTCAATTTTGTACGCGTGGAGAAAAAAGGGTGCGCTTGCAAACAATCTTAAACAAGAATATTCAAATTACAAATCGACAAACACGTATATTCAATTCACGTACGATAAGTAAAGTATACAGTTATTCATACTATCAGTTTTGACTTCGCGTAAACTCTTTTCAATCAAATATTAATCATTTAATACAATAATGGTTTGCGGATATATAGTTTTGACACAAGCATAAATATTTCTGTTAATAATTATACATACGCGTTGACCGCGAATGAGATTAAGAATTAAATTTTTAATGTTGCAAGAAGATGAAAACTTTTTTCATTTAACTTGTATTTACTTTCGATGAGCAACCTGAGGCCTTTATAGCTCGTGAAATAGCCAGGCTTTTATAACATTTAACGTTTCACGTTGACGCAAAATGCAACGTTCAACAACAAGAATAGATAGTCTCTCGAAGTGACTAAATTTTGTTGCGCACGTTTGAGATCCGTGGGAAAATAGATCCCACATTCCATCGACACTATCATGATACATGGAATAAATGCAGAGTTGTATGTAAACAAATGCATTTTTGGCATGCCATACTACGATGGAACGTTCTGCATTTGTTTTACGCACAACTTGCTCTAAATTTGCGTAAAAGCTTTGTGTGTAGAATTCGATGGAATGTAGAACTGAAACTCGTCTGCTATTTGAGCAATTCGCTCGCTGTTATGAACGATGTTTGCGGCGCTCTCCTAATATCACTATAAGCTTACAAGCTCAAGCAAGTAATTCTCGTCTAATAAATGGCACCTGATGAAAGGATTGTAGCAACCTTTTGGTAACTATGGCAACGAGCTGTGTGCCAATCAATAGGAAAAGAGGATTACATTAGCCTCGTCTTTCGGCTACTACTAGTCTCCTTTCCCCGATAGTTTCTTGTTAGGTATTGAACTTCAAAAGATCGCTGGGAGTCAGATTCGGTCGGAAGTGACCATCCGCAACATCGAATCCTGACAGTCTGAGATCTTTCTGTGAAAAATGGTAGAAGTGTCAAAATATAAAAATATTAATAACACTATAGAATATTTTAATAAGAGCTATTTTTCAACATAGGTAGTCTTGTTTTTTTTAATACACTTGGTGGAAAAATTATATGTAGACAAAATGTTTTGAGATATTTATTATAACAAGATCAATTCATTTATTATGTATATGATAAATGATATGGTTTTAAAGAAGATTCTTCGAAGGCAATTTCAGTATAAACATTCAAGTCACGATCGTACGAGGGTGCAGGAATAAACCTATATGCGAACGTGCCAGATGTAAGCTCTCAATTGAAGATCATGTTATATCAAAGGATAAAATGTAGAACAATTTTTTACATTCTAGAAAAAGTATTTTAATACCGCGTAGCATAATTTTTTATGAAAGAAACAAAAATATTTTACACTTAATTAAAATTATTGCATGCAAATATAATAGATATGATATGCGTAATTTCAGAATTATTTCATAATTCATTTTACACAGCTTTAGATTCTTCGGAAAAATGTACAAATTATAAATGTACACGTCTTAAAAATCTTAATTATATTTAATAACACATAAAAAAATTCTAAATAATTTTTATTATAATTATAAAATTTAGAAAATGTCAATATATAATACATTTTCAAGTCTGAATTTCTCAAATTAATGAGAGAGAGAGAGAGAGAGAGAGAGAGAGAGAGAGTTTGAATAAAATTAATATTACTTTTATTTAACTAGAAAAGAAGAAGAGAAAAAAGGATATATCCGTCTTCCTATCTATGTACAAGAAATTGTTCATGATATATTGTGGAAGCAGAATATTCTTATTTCATTTAAAAGAATTTTCAGTAATCGTTTCAACATTTATAGTCAATTATGTTTCTCATCGTTTAATTTTAGAATTTATCGCTATTAACGATTATGAGTAGCAACTTAACGGAAATAAACTAACTCTAAACTAACTTCCTTATGCGAAACTTGCACTGTCGTCATTAATGTCACAATATTTCGAGCAAACTGAGCCTGACATTATCAAATATGTCCTACTCAGAGAACGCAGGCGAACCTTATCGAGGCAAAGTTTCCAGTCTCATGCCCTCGAAAAAGAGTTCCGGCCTTAATCGCGACAA